CATTGGCACATGCCTTCGGGGGCGCGGTTGGTTTGTTCGGCGGATGATTGGGGGTTGGCAATGTCCTTGAGTAATTGCTCGTTTTTATCCTCTGGCTTCTTGCCGTCTTCTTTGGATCTGGACTTGTCTTTGCTAGTGCTGTCTTCTTTGGATTTGGATTTGGACTTGGACTTGTCTCGGCTTTGGGACTTATCTAAGTCTTTGGCTGAGTCTTTGGAAGAAGAACTGGAGCTGAGGGCGTCTTTGCCCGATTTGGAAGTTGGCTTGGCATTGACTAGTGCGAGGAATGAGAGAGTGGCGATGAAGAGAGAAGAAGCTAGAAGAGTCTTGGAGAAATGCATATGAGTAGAGAATGAGTTGGTCTTTATACCTTGAGTTAATGATCTGGGATGGTCATTGGTTGGTATGAGAAAGATCAGGGCGATTAGTAGTGGTGGGATTGGTGGACTAGAATTGATATCAGTTGAGTCTTTGTTTTTTTGCTTTTATTCGCCCATGGACCGTATCATTTCTATTTTAGCCCGTAGATTAGCAATTTCGGTGGAAGAATCGGAAATTATGATTAAATCGGCACTTCATTCGTCGACTCCGGAACAGGAACTGTTTGACCTTTTGGGTGAAGATGAAGTGGACTCAATTGCTGTACTATTATCTAGTCTTAAACCTAAATGGAGTCCTCCAACTGGTCATTGTATTATGGCTTTAGATGCGACAATTGACCGAATCATGGCGCCTAAGCTGCAGAGGAATACAACTGATATGTATGATGAGTATATTCTGGAGGCTGCGCCTAGTGCTAAAACGGGTGAGTTAGTGGCAGTGACTGCTATTAGCCCGGCTTATCGGCGAGTCTTTGCTGAATATACGCACTTTAACTTGGTACAGTCGATGGTCTTTAATAGTGTATACGGGGGAGAAGAGAACGTGCTGGTTTCGGCTCCTACTGGGGCTGGTAAGACAGATATTGCTGTTCTGGCTATTGTTAAGCACTTAGAAACAACTCAGGACTCGGTTGAAGATAAAGTTGTTTATATCGCACCAATGAAGGCTTTGGCGGGTGAGATAACTAGTAAGTTGCAGAATCGGCTGGGAGTGGTTGTGCAGGAACATACGGGTGATACTGAACTTTCAAAAGAAGAGATAGCTCGTAGTCGGATTCTTATCTGTACTCCGGAAAAGTTCGATATTTCAACCCGGAAAGTCTCGTCATTTCTCTTGAAGAAGGTCTCCTTGATTATTTTGGACGAAGTCCATATTGTGAATGATAGTCGTGGGCCGGTGATTGAATCAATTGTTTGCCGAATGAAGTTCTTGACGGCACGCCGGCAGAAACGAACACGTTTGATTGGAATCTCGGCTACTTTGCCCAATCCGCAAGATATGGCTCAGTTCTTGCAAGTACAGCCGAAACACATGCATACGTTTGGCCGGGAGTACCGACCTGTGCCCATTGTTTACTCAGTGATTGGAACTAGAAAGGCCGTGGATGTAAGTACTGGAGACTTTACGAAGCGGCTGGATACTAAAGAGAAGATGGTTTGTGTACTCCAGGAAAAGATAGAACCACTTATTGCTCAAAACCAGCAAGTGCTTGTCTTTGTGCATACGCGCGGGGATACTTTAGCAGTCGCCGAAGAGCTTTGTGCTACTCTGCCGGCGGGAATTAATGAACTGCCAAGTGAGGTGCAATTACCTGAAGCTTTGGCCCAAATATACACCCAGGGTCTGTTTGTCCATCATGCGGGTTTACCACGGGCAATTAGGAACTTTGCTGAACATGAGTACCGCCAGAAGAGGATTAAAGTACTGGTCAGTACTTCTACTTTGGCCTGGGGAGTTAACTTACCGGCCCGAGCAGTTATTATCTTTGGGACTTCTTACTACTCACCTGAAACTGGTACACGCGCCGATGTAAGTGTTCTGGATGTACAGCAGATGTTTGGTCGAGCTGGACGGCCGCAGTATGATACACAAGCCGAAGGCATTCTGATCACGGATCATAAATCATTGCAGAAGTACGTGCGCATGCTTCGAGCTGAAGATCCAATTGAAAGTTTGCTTTTGAAATCCCTACCAGCCCGAATGTGTGCCGAAATGTACTTGCGTAATATAAAAACCCACCAGGATGCTGTTACTTGGCTTAAATCAACCTTCCTTTGGGTGCGCATGCAAAAAGCCCCGGAGCGATATGGTACTATTTATACGGAGAGAGAGGCGGCTATCAAAGACTATGCAACACTTACTATTGATCGGCTTAAGTCCTTAGATTTACTTACTGACCGTAATGAAGTGACCGATTTAGGACGAATTATTTCGCACTACTCTATTTCCAAACCGACTCTTCTGGCATGGAACACTCTCCTGGAAGAGGGCAACGATAAAGTTGTTTCTTTCCTGGCTGAAGCCGAAGAGTTCTCTTCCTTCTCCATTCGAGCTGAAGACAGGGCTGGGCTTGGTTTAAAGCACTCTGATACTGAAATTGATAAGGAGCTTAAAATCAAAATTCTCCTGGATAAACATATCCAAAAACGCGAAATCAGAGGGTATTCTCTAAAAATGGACCAAAAACTCATTCTAGATAGTGCAGATCGACTCTTGTCCGGGCTATCCGAGTACTGCCACTACAAACAAAAGCCCGTACTGTCCTACCACGCTCTCTTTACCAAGAAACAGATCGAAATGAAGGGTCGCCGCCATGAAATCTTGCCACTGGAATTATCCCTCTCCGTTAAACCCAATGCCATTAAGATCCAGCCAACCTTCTCCGGAGTAGTCTACTTGCGCCATAATGGTAAAATCACCAGTATAACTCATGCCCATGCCAAAAAGGAGTATCTGCTCAACAGTCGTATGCTTCTCAAAAGTATTACTCCCATCGACCGTAAGCTGATTCTGAACAGTCGGCTGGAAATAGTGCCTGTCCGACAGTTTTCAGAATACGAGCTTTGGTTTGTTGATCAGACTCTGCATAAGATTGCCGGGTACACTCTTGCTTTTCTGGCTTACGTACCGGCCGCGCCCTCCACCGGTATTTCGTTCAAACGTCCCGATCTTATCGAAATACGTACTTTGCCCAATGTCTCCAATGAGGAGTTTAAAGAACTTGCTGTTCTGTTACTTTATGAGGAGATCAAACGACTGCGTCAACTCAAACAGACCCAAATCTACATTATTGTTCCGTATGCTGAAGATGAACAAACAACTGAAAGCACTATCAACCGACTTTCACAAACCGAAGGATACTCGCTTGAGCCAAACTCCACTTTCTTCTCCACTAACAACGGTATTGTAGTTAATAAGAAGAAAGCGTGCTTCCCTTGGACTGTGTGTATCTCTGAAGTAAAATCGCTCAAAGAGAACATCGCTCGAGATGCTTTCTATCTCTTCTGTGGGTTTTCTAAGGCCGGTGTTCTCTATACCGACAGTGTGCTCAAGCAAATACCTAAGTCTTCTGCCATTATCTACGAAAGAGAGCACGAGTCTTTATATATTCGCCAGCGCTATCTGTAATCATTCTAGAATGGCCTAGGACGTCTGGTTCATCTCTAGTGAACAATAAATGTGGGAGAACTCAATAGGCAGAATGTCATAGTTATTTAGGCAATCTTATTCAATAATGGCTAGTTGGTTTATTCAGATCCGACTTAAATAATGTGGTTGGTGCGGAGTTAGGTAGATAGTTATTAGGGAAGTATAATGTAAGTTTGGTGAGTGTTTTGGTTGGCTTGTTCGCTATGGATTTTAGCGGTAAGGTCGGATATGCTGTTGTAGGGTAGATACAAATAGATTTGGCCGTCATTCCAGGCCATGCTTTTGAGCCATTCATCGTGGGTGGTAAGAGATTGGGTACTGCCTTCGGCAAAGACAAAACTAGATAAGGGGGCGCTTGTAAGTCTGTAGATACTCTTGCCTTTGCTGGCATAGCGGCAAAACGGGCATCCGTTGTCCAGTGCTTCTTCAATACCATATACACAGTCATTACAAAGTTTGTGCCGACATGGGGAATAGCAGAGTGCGATGAAACTATTCATGGGGTCGGGAGTATCATCGGGGCCTGTGATCTCTGATTCTACCCTGTCCCCTTCTTTTGGCGACTTATAAAGGCTGCGCATGCAAATCGTACAAGTAAGCTCGGGATTGGGGCCTTTGATATGGTTAATGATCAGTTGGAGAGGGGCATTAGAACTAGCTTCTTTTGGAATAAGAGTGCTAAGCTTATCTAAATTGCCGATCAAAGTTAATAGCAGTGGGATGGCTATAGCTGTGAACTTAAACCTGGGATTGGGATGTTTAATTAAGAAGCTATCATAATATGGCCGAACAATTAAGCTAATTGGAGGAATGTCGGGGTTAGTAAGTATAATTTGTGCTTTTCTAAGCTTAGGCAAACCATCAATTAAATAGTCACTCGAGGCTATTAGTCTTCGTGTATCTTCGGTCATCTTAAGATTCGCTAGCGTTAAAATGGTTAGATCTACAAATTGGTAAGCTAGCCAGCGGAGGATATTCAGTAGATCGGTTATAGTTATGGTTTGACTGCGAGTAAAGTAAAGAGATAGTTTGGTGACAGGTTTGCCATCGGATGGAGACTGCTGTGGCTGTAGAGCTTGGTTTAGCTCGGTATTTGGTTGGGAAAGAGAACGGTTGGTAGCAAGATATGGGTTTAAAATCTCAAGAGTAATACCTGAAATCTGCAAATGGGAAGTGCGTGTCATAATAGCCCGGCTAAACAAGGCAGCCACGCTTATTCGGCTAAGCTTATTGGGGCCAATGACGCTATGAATGCCATGGCTGGTAAGTTCAGTTAAAACACTACTATACGAACTATTTTCAGCTTTACTTACTAGTAGACATAGTTTGTGTAAGCCTAGATCTTGTTTCAAGCTGCCGGTCTCATCATTCGTATTCTTATTCTTATCTTCATCACCCTTATCTTCATCATCTTCTTCACTCTTATCTTTGAATTCCTTAATATACTTGAAGAGAGAGAAGCCTTTGTTTGTGTCTGGTTTCCTATAATATCGGACTTCGTTCAGCTCGGCAAAGTCATTGAGCACAAGCCTTGATATTGGCCGGGCTATGGGCAGGGAGAGAATTTGGGCAATGGCTAGATTCTGGAAATACTGATTGAGAATGTGTATTTCTATTTGGTCGGCAAAGATATACCGGCTGAATATCCGGTAGATGATTGTTTCGTCTACATTGTCTAGTATCAGAGTCTTGA